ATCTCAAGAGCAGTGTAGCCGACTGCAACAGCCCTAAACCCTAAACCCTAAACCCTAAACCCTAAACCCTGCAAACTGGGAACAGAAGAACGAGCAAGAAAAGAAGACACCGCAAGAAAATAAAAAAATAATTTATTTCATTTTATTTCAATATAATGTGGAGGAAGGAGAGAGAAGGAAGGCCCGTAACACGCTGCTGCTGCTCCTGCTGCTGCTGCTGCTGCTGCAGCGTGTTAAGGCTGCTGCAGCAGGGTCTGCTGCTGCTGCTGCTGCAGCAAATTTAATTGTTGCTGCTGCAGGTGCTGCTGCTGCTGCTGCTGCTGTATTCATAACATTGTTGCTTCTTAGAAGGCAGCAAATGCACGCAGCAAAAACCCTAAACCCTCGATCTCTGGCCCCACCGTGCAGCCGCAAACCCTAAACCCTAAACCCTAAACCCTAAACCCTAAACCCTAAACCCTAAAACTGAATATCTTGAGATCAGCATCTACAAGAGGCCCTACCCAGGTCCCTTACTTGGCTACGCTTTCGGCGCCTACTGCGGTGGTGTTGTTCTTACTGCCGCTGCTGCTGCTGCTGCTGCTGCTCTTGCTGCTGCTGCTGCTGCTGCTGCTGCTGCTGCAGCACTGGAGGCGGCTTTGACAGCCCGCGGATGAAGCGGAATAACAGCAGCATTAAGTGTTTATGCGGTAACCGCTTTCAGGGTTTAGGGTTTAGGGTTTAGGGTTTAGGGTTTAGGGTTTGTTCAGGCGAATAAGCCTTCTACTGGAGCAGCCAATCCGTGCACAGTTGGTACAGCAGCAGCAGCAGCAAAGGCAGCAGCACGACCAGCAGCAGCAGCTGCTGCAGCAGCAGTAGCAGCAGCAGCAGCTGCTGCTGCTGCTGCGCATGGAGATCTTGGGGTCGATGCTTCCTCTTTTCCTCCTTCAGCCCCTATAGCTGCTCAGCTGCAAACCCTAAACCCTAAACCCTAAACCCTAAACCCTTGATGGTGGTGGCTAAGGATTTGGGGTTGGATGCGCAGCTGCGGCTGCTGCTGCAGCAGCTGCTGCAGCAGCTGCTGTCTTATCAACGGCAGCAGCAAGCAATCAATGAGCTGCTGCAGAGTATGACGACACAACTCTCAGACAGGAGGTAAGAAGGCTACTGCTGCTGCTGCTGCTGCTGCTGCTGCTGCTGCTGTGCTGCTGTTGGTTCTACTGTTGCTGCTGTTGCTGCTGCTGCTGCTGCTGCTGCTGCTGCTGAAGCTGCCTGTACACCTCAGCTGTGCACGCAGGTACCTCGAAGGAGACCATCTCGCCACTCTGATGCTCAACCCCCAGGTAAGCAGCAGCAGCAGGAGATGTTTCTGCTGCTGCTGCCGCTGCTGCTGCTGCTGTAGCAACGGCAGCAGCAGCAGCAGCAAGAGCAGCAGCAGCAGCACCACCATCACCAAGAGCAGTACCAGCAGCAAAAGTGAAGAACTTCCAGTTCTTTCTTTGTTAGCAAATGCCGCTGTTGTGGTTGTTGCTGCTGCTGCCGCTGTTGCTGCTGCTGCTGCTGCTATTGCTGCTGCTACTGTTGTTGCTGCTGCTGCTACAGCTGCAGACGTGCTGCTTGACGAATTACAATGCTGCGCTGCTGCAGCAGCAACACCGGCTGGAGGTGCTGCATACGGAGCTCGTGGGTCCTCCTAGAAGCAGCAGCAGCAGCAGCAGCAGGAGCAGCAGCAGCAGAAACAGCAGCAGAGCAGCAGCAGAAGTAGCAACAGGAAGAGCAGCAAACGGAGAAAAACAAACAGCAGCAGTGGTGGCAGCAGCAGAAGCAGCAAGACACAGCAACAGGAGCAGCAGCAGCAGTAGCAGCATCAACAGGAGCAGCAGCCAAAGCAACAGCAGCGGCA